AGACAACCAGAAAAAGTCAAGCAGTTCAGTGAATTAAAAATGCGAGGAATCAATCACTTGAAAGGAAAATATAGAGGAGGAAATCTGTATATGCTAGGACATAGATCCACAGGGCAACGTCGACAAGTTCTAAATCACAACCTTGCAACAAGTGGATGTCCCATATTGAAAATCTTGGAGATTACAGAAGATCACCTGGAGACAATTTAGTTCATGATTTTTCGTCTACAACGTACTGATGGCTCGGAGTTCACCTGTCAAGAGAATGACTTCTTTCTACTGCACATGGATGACATTTATCAAATGTTCATGAGGTGCAGGGAGCTTCCAGTTCACAAAGACAGACTCGCTAAAGAAGGCTTCGAGGCGATAAAAAGATTCATGACAAGACAAGTTCGGTTCTACGCTTCTCATGACCTCCAGATGACCATAGAGCACAACTATTCAAAGGTGAATCTTACTAGACCGGACTTGAATAGACCTGGCCTTGAATCCTTTGAAGCATATCATATCTTTGACAATCCAGTATCAGTCATCTATCTGAATCATAACAACGAAAAACGTCTAATGTTCGTGGATGAAATTAACAAGTATTGTGACGGAACGTTGAAGATCATTCAGAAGCAGCTCCGATCAAAGAAACAAGAACTTGGACAGAAATCGACTGAAGCCACTGAAGGAGACCAGAAGGAACTGCACAGAATTAACAATATTCTACAAGCCATTGAAAAGCAACTTGATAGAAGAAACTCACTCAGAAACTATGAGCACGCACTTAATCTCAGAAAGAACTATTACAAAGCTCAGAAGTGAAGAAACCCAGCAAGACGGCACTTGACCACAAAGGGGGAGATTGTTAGAACTTTTATTGTGGGTCAAGTTTGTCTGTAATGTCTTGTTTAAATAAAGTAGACTAGTTATACCATTTATGGTATTAGATTAGTATTTATTATGTAGCAAATAAGGTAAAGGGAATAAGGCCCAAAAAGGCCTTGGCCCAACTTCCAAGGTTTACCTAAATCGGTAACCTGTACAGCGCCTATAAATACGCGCCTTGTGTACAGGTACCGATATCGATCAATACACATTAGCCTTACGCTGCCAAATTTACTTCTCGATACTACAGAAAGAAGGTTTCACTGTTCTCGATAAAGCTTATATCATTATATGAAATCTTTCTCTTCTGTCTATCGATGATGTTCATCTAGCTGATCGTTAGTCTGCAAAACTGGGACCAACACTGCCAAAACATGACAGTAATTAGTCCTATTTTGGGAATAAAAACATGTAAGTTCTATTTTGGAATTTCTAAACTTTTTTAGTTCCATTTTGGGTAATATCTCTAATTTCACCCACTTTGGAAGTGGGAAGATATACGGTAGTATGTGATAGTGTGATACGTAGGGAGTATTAAAGAAGATGATAGTAGTTCATTATAGATGAGAAGTCGGAAACGTCATTTGATGGTGAAATTGAAACCCAAGTATAATGCTCGTATCTTTGTCTTATGTTTATGTTGTGATCGATCTGCATGATTCACATGCCCCTTCATCCAAATAAAAGTTAGAATGGCAAATAAAACATAACGGTGATTATAACATTAGTTTTGTTTAGCTACACAACGGTGTTTAATGGGAAATCTAAAACATTAGTTAGACTTTTAGGTGTTCCAAACTAACTTTAAAGTAAAAAAAAGTTAAATAAAAAGGTATTTTTGCAAATAAAGTAGGATTGTTTGAAGAATCAATTCTACACATGCAAGCATATAAAAAAAAAACCAGTAATGAAGTTCAATGTAAAATATAAAGTCGTTTGCTAAGACTAAGAGCTCATTTAGTAACACTGAAAGCCCGTTTGGTGAACCTTATTTTCGGATTATCAGCCTTATCAGTAAGTTTTTTCACTAAATATGTAATTTTTAATTTCGTATGCTGAATTTCATAACAATCGCTAAGTTTTCAAATGTTTTTTTTCTTTATTTTATTAATAGAATATATTTTAATATAATTTTTCATAAGTCAGCAGATTAACCAATTGAGTCGTTTCAGCTAGAATTTAATTAATTTCAACAAAATCAGGCGATTCAGCCAATTTTAATGTTACCAAACGGGGTTTGACATTGACCAAATCGGCTGAATCTTCTAAAATTAATGAAATTCCATATGAAATTGTTGAATTGGTCGGATATATTTACGAAAAATGTTGTGTATAAAAATGTAAATGAAACTTTATATTTTTTAAAACTTTATATATGAAAAACTTTATATTTCAAATAAAAAAGTAACCTTCAAAATAAATTGGAATTTTTGTTTTAAATGGGCCCCACATATGTTCTTTATTGCGCCTTAAGACATGCCAGCCAAATCATCCTTTCTCTCCGGGTGAATAAGGGTGATTGCTTCCCACCCTTTAGATTCACCCAACCCGCTCTAGCACAACCTAATACAAAAAAAAAAAAAAACTTGGGTTTCACCATATTTGGAGTATAAACTTTATATTTGGGGTTTCACCCCTCCGTCCCAAATGTACACAACCTTAGAACTAGAAGAATGTGATCGAGATGTGCGCCTTGCCACTCAAGCCCCTGATATATTCGACTATTGCTAAAAGGGAACCACATTCAAGCGATGAATGGATTGGTCATTTGGTCATTAATCACTATAGACCATCTTTCACTATGTGCTTTCAATATTAGTTATTCCCCAAAACTTCCCTAATGACTTCAACCTATTTCAATATTCACCAAGTTGTTCAGTTTTAATGTCCACATACGCTAGCCATTAGTTGTCTAAATTTGGTCTTTGAGGGTTACCATTATGTACTCATACAACTAAAATTACAAAGATTTGGGAACCTCCATACATAAATTTATAAGTAAAAAGACCAGCATGCAATGAGACAGATATAAAATCAATACATTTTTCTTTCTCTTTGTAGATTTCTTTATTTTGACAACTTTGCCTCCACAATTATAACAAGGAAAATTCTTAATATATTAGTACGTACAAATGTGAAACTTCAAGGGGGAGTATTACATTTTTCCAAAGTAAATTATTGTCATTTCGAAATTTAGCGTTATATTTTGACATTATTAAACATTAATATGATAATAATTTCATAATTGACAATATTTTCAAAGCAAGATAGTAACTAATCCTATTTACGAAATAAAAATCCAATGCTCCTACAGTCCTACTTTAAAATTTCACATTGTTGTTACTTCTATTTAGTGGTGGACTGGGACGTACGGGCCGGCCTGACCCGGATCGGTATTGTGCTGACCCCGCCCGGTCCGGATCGGTATTGTGCTGACCCGGCCCGGCCCGGTCAACCGGGAGCGGGACCAGGCCCGGTGATCCGACCTGGGAGTAAAATAGGTGGGCTACGGGCTCTGTTTTTTTTGTGACTAACCCGGACCGGCCGGGCTCGATCCGAACCCAGTCATTTTTAAAAAAAAAAAAACTTTTTTCCCATCTGGCTAGTTGCTAGGTGGGTGGGGCTGGGTGGTTTGGGGGGGTTTGCGGGTGAGGGAGATGGGGGAGGGGGGGTTGGAATTAATTCGAAAAGACAAAAAGAATTATTTCATGCCTAGTCCTGTCCCGATTCTAACCCGGGCCGGTACCGAGCCTAAATATTTTGGACCCGGAGCCTGCCCCAGCCCGATCTGGAGCCCGGCCCGACCTGAGACCCAATCCACCCCTACTTCTATGTAGGACAATTTTCTTTAAAAACTAGTTTGACATTGTAGAAAAAAGTACCAAAATCTATAGACTTCAAAACAACTTAGGGGAAATTTGTATTATTGCTCCTCTATTTCCACGAGTAGGGGTGAACTCAGTTCGGAACCGAGTCCGGTACTGTTTAGGACCGGTTCGGGTCCAGAGTTTCTGGTTTTGGGCCTGGGATCGGCCGACCTGCCATGTCGACCTAAGAGCGGTTCACAGTCCCGATTCACCTATTTGGGGACCGAACCAAGCGGTTCAGACTCGAACCAACCAATTTTTTAAAAGCTTGAAACTCATTAAATTACTGGTACCCAGAAAATAGCGGGTGGGTGAGTGGTCCCAGGCCAACCAGTTCTTTTTTGACCAAGCGGTCTCTACTCGGAATCAGGACTAGACCCACCCGGGTCCATCCCTATCCACGGGTGTATCTAAACCTTATTGTTGTGGTTTCTGGACCGGCTAGTTCCCACTTCCCCAACCAGGAACTATGAATCTCACTAAATATTTCGGTTTCCGATTGGTTGGTTCCAAATCTGCTTTTTCTGTTCTTTTTACACATTATTACAATACATTATAAACTTATACAGAGTATTACTTATACAAATATTATTTAGTTATGAGAGAATTCCCTAAATAGGAGTATAAACGTTTTGAAATTACAAAATAGGAGTATCATGGTTTTTATTCTCTGAATAAGAGTAAATTTCTGCCAAGTTTCACATTAGAAGGCTTTTAAATATGACAATTTTTTCCAAACTTGGCAGATTACTCCTATTCAGGGAATAAAAACATGTTACTCCTATTTGGAATTTCAAAACGTTTTTACTCCTATTTAAGGCAATCTATGTTTACTTATACTATGGAGTATTACGTTATGTTTATTATATATTGTAACAATATATGATATTGTAATTATATAATTAGATGTAGAATTTAATAATTATACGTATTATGATACGGACACATAGTCACATAGACACACACAATGAAATAAAAATTGAACGGATAGAAACCAGTTGATTCTGATCACACATACAGAACCACAACCGGACCAGAGTTGAACCTGTTCTGAATGACGATTCCCATCTCCAAAAACATTTCTAGACAATAAAAATTGATCTCATCCCAATTTAATTCTGGAACTGTAATTGACTATGAACACCTATAATTTACATACTTAGAGAGCTCACCAAAAAGTATACTGAATTGGAAAATAATTGAATAAGCATATTATAAAAACTTTCTATATGAAATAAAATCTTAAAAGAGATTTCTATTGACCACAATCTGAAGGTTCAATTGGGTTCTAGGGAGTTTTCTGTGAGAAAGTTGCAACATACATCAAGTCTTAAATATCACCAGTACAGCATCTGGATTTATAAGTTATGGTAGCTTCATCACCTCGTACTCATGCGAAATCTTAAGAGGCTACTCCTTAGAAACCCGTGGTTCGTAGCCACGTGCTCTAATCCTCTGAGCTACAAGCCCACCCCGCCTCCGCAAAAAAGGAACAACGGCTATCCGGTGGAGATCATATTCATGAGGGTACTGTAGTAGGTAAACTAGAAGGGTTTCTCCTCCAAAAATGACTTTGGATAATTATAATATGAGATCCTTCCGATTGGGCTAAGAGAATGCCTATCGCTTTGAGGTATCTGTCTTCTGACCACAGCTCTAAACCAACTGTCCCACAGCCCCAATGCACTTCAGCACTTCTATACTTGGTCAATGCTGATTGCTGAACCGGTTCACCAAAGCTAGGCCAAGGCATTTGTCAACAAGCATCCATTCTCCTGCACACAGAAAAAAATATTTAAACAGGGCAGCCTAGATCCGCTGCAATTCTGTTAACGATAGAAAAGACTCAGAAATGACCAAAAAGCAGAAGTAGATTGTCCAGTTTATCCAAATGCTACAGTAATTGAATAATTTTGTATGAAGAGCCTTCTAGTGAGGCGAATGTTTCAAGTCTTTGAAACATAGAGGGTATGTTTCGATTCCTGACAATGCTAGGGAAAGAAAAAAAGTACGTATAGTTGCTTTCTTATGCTTGGTTTTAACATTGAAATTCTAAAGTACAATAATAAATTGAAAACATGGAGTGTTTTTCATTAAAATACGGAGTAGCATATTTAAAACTTGTAGATTTATTTGTGTATCTTTCTCTTGCTACCTTTAAAACTTGTAGATTTAGTTGCTTTATCTCTTGGTATTTTCCACGTCCGAAACAGTCCAGATAGGACATAATTTTTAATGAATGCCATTCTTGTGAGGTAAATGTTCAAGTCATTGAAACATTAAGGTATGTTTGGATCCCGGACAATTCTAGGGAAAGAAAAAATTCTATGGATAGATTTTTTCTTAGCTTTGGTTTTACCATTGGAACTAGAAAGAGCAATACAACAACAACAACCAAACCTTAGTCCCAAAAGAATTTGAGGCCATTAACATGGATCAATATATGAAATTGGAGCTATGAACTAGAAAGAGCAATGCAAAAAGAATGATTTAAAGTCCACATTTTTAGAATCATTATTGTGCCTTTCATTTTCTTCCATTCCCTTATTTTCCCCATACTTTCTTTCCTTGGTATTTTCCAGGTTACAAACAGTCCGGAAAGGATTTAGAGATAGAAAAATAAGAAACACCCACCGTTTGGGAGAAGATCCCCTTCCATGATTTGCTGCTCACCAGGTTCTGGCCAAATCCCATGATTGGAAACATTAGCAGATGTAAAGGACACATAAGACGGTTGAGTGAAGCAGTGTAAATATTGGATGTATATGCAAGCAGACCAGCCTGCAGTCAACTGCCAGAATGAGTAGTGTGTTCCCATGCAAAATCATATTCCCTCCATGGCTCCATCTCTTATTTAACTCATCTTTTGACTGGGTACAGTTTTAATGAAGGTGAAAACTGTGTCTTTGCTATTTGTGTGGAGAGAAAGAAGTTGTATCAACTAGAAAATATTTTCCTTAAAAGAAGAGTGAAAATAACTTCTGCAGGGGCAGAGGGAGTAAGAAGCAATGATTTGTTTAGGTCTGCAATTCATGGAATGTGATTCATGAACAAGTACAAACCTAGAAAATCCTCCAGAACCAGTTCCCACATTACTAAACAATGCTAGAGTCGATCTTGAAAACCTTAGGGTTGTTCTTTAGCATAGATATAAATCGCACAATGACTAAGCCGCCACCAATATCTCCCCTTGTAATGCACAATATTTTGACTTCTCCTGCATGCTCTTGATCCTTTCTATAAAGGATCTCATATTCTTAGTAGATGATGATGAATTTAAAACCCAGTGTTTTTGAAATATAAATACGGAGAGCCTTAAATGGACTCATGTAAAGTATTCTCCTTGACACATTTTTTTGTTTTATAGTACTACTTTTGAACTTAATTTGATCATTTTTTAACAAACCCAGAAGCTACGTTTTATTGATAGTACTTGCAACTTACCACTTGACTTTTTTTCCTAGAGACTAGCGCATAGTTAATATACTTAATATATAAAAATAAACCTAATAGTTACTATAATTTTACCCCTCCCCCAATAATAGAATTTTAACGTCTCTCACGTGAAACCGTCTAACAAAAGATTTTCCACAAGTTAATTTAATTTAGGCAAAAAACATTCCTAGTAAATGCCTAAATGGAAAACAAGGAATGAGTACTTCACATTTCCCCCCAAAAGAAATAATTTTAAATTTCCAATAAGGCTTTAAAACTCACTCAATGACATAATACTCTTGTGTGCATCCAGCAGATCTGTACTCAAGGCCACTATATTTTTCATACCTGTTTATATTTACTTGGCTGTGAAGCCACTGAGTTCCTGTCAGAGCCAAAAAGAGACCAAGTATGAAAAAGGTCAAGCTCATATCTCCATGTCCATAAAAAGAGACCGAGCCAAAAATAGACCACTGAGCTATAATGCAAGCAAATAATGAAGCAATTGATTTTAAATTTCAAAATTATGGCCAACTGACGTGTAAAAGAACAGTCAAAACAAAGCATGTATATGCATGGAGTGTACACATAGCCTTTGATGCATTTAATAAACAATACTTTCAACAAATGAAGGTAGAGACCCAAGTGATTGTATGAATTACCAGTAGGAAGATGCTCCAAGGATATTATTCTGCCACCAATCCATGAAACCACTTTCAACTCCTGATCCCCACCTTTCAAGTTTTAACACATCCAGTGCTAGTGAAAGTTCAGCTCCCTTTTTCTGAGAGATACCACTGACATCTGGTATATGTCTCACCATTTCTGAACAAAAAAGGGTTTTATATCTTATGTTTTGAATAGGATATAGTTCAGATGAGTGATTTGGAGCAACAGCTGTACCCATTTTAATCTTGTACTTTTTTTCACTTGCTATTACCAAACTTGAGACCTCATTCTCTGATGGCATTGTTATTTGCACAGTATCTCTGTCAGTGCCAATGACTCAAGCTGAAACACACAGGAATGAAGGAAGTATAAAGGCCGTTCAAAACTGAGAAATTCATATACGTATGAGCCAGAGAGTTCACAAGCAATCATACATTAGCACCTTCACTAAGCAATAGATTTACATGTAAGCAGCAGTTTGGCCTTTTCCACAATCCTTCAGTATTGGCCACCCTCAAGGTAACAACTGAAGAAGAAAGTTCAGCATTGTATGTTGTCAACAGGTACTCACCATTGGTATACTCATATCCATCTCCATCATCTTCATAGAGAGAACCTTCAGCTTTACCTGCACCATGGACAACCAATTTGATGATACTGTTTATATTTTCCTTACCAGCTTTCCTTTCTAAGTAATAAATGATGAGTTACTGTTATTTTGTGTGTAGGCCTCTTTTATGTACAGTTAAATATTAACTACGCCCAGGAAGGCTACCTTGCTCATCCAGAGACACGATAAGCAATAAATCATCTGTAGGCTTACACTCACCAACATGTAGATATGGATGGAGGACCTACAGGAATTATTGATCCACCTCGAAGGTATAAAGCTGGTAAGTCCTACCATTTCCAGATATAGAGAAATAAAAAAAGGATGGAAAATATTTAAATAATATATTAATCTCAAAACAAATTATGTTTCTAAGAATAACTACCGGATGTGAGTCGTCAAAATCAAAACTTAACCATATGTCTTTAGGCAGTATTCTCTGAACTTGATCCACCTCCTTATCATGCTTGTGCTGCTTAAAAAAACACAATATTTTGTGGGTACAGTATGGAAAAAATTTGCATCCCATGAATGCATTTGTTCCAGAAACAAAACAAGAAAGGACTGTTGAGAGGAATAGAGGAAGTAAATGAATATATCAGCAAAAAAGAATCTACACTAGCACATATCCTGCTGATGCCATGAACTAGGGCTGTACTTAAAATGTTCTTGAACATAATAAGTCAGTGCCCATAAACATACTCCCTCTTGGCTCCGTCCCAATATAATGTTCATTATTTTCAATATAAACTTCAATTTCCATTTAAGGAATGAATTGTGTGGTTGACATTATCTCTTTCCTTTTTAAATATGAAGGAGAGGAACAAACAAATAGTGTATTAGCAAAGAGAATGCACGCTACACATATCACGGTTGTGCCTCTTATGTGATTTGAGAAAACAAATAAGATTATCAGCAAAAGAATCCACACTACTACACATATCAGGGTTGTACCTCGTATGCGATTGATGCGACATTACTGGAGAAGTTTTATGGAGACCCATATGACTCCCTTATGGAGTCATATGGGTATTGTGGCATATTAAAAACCACTCATTCTTTAGTGGAAGACCCGATTAAAAAAATGAGTGGTTATCAATATGCCACAATACCCCATATGACTCCATAAGGGAGTCATATGGGTCTCTTTAAAATTTTGGGTCATTACTGGCAGCTAGCTAGTTTGGGGAACTATCTTTCTATAGTTTAAGACTAATGTCCTACACAAGAAAAGGCTGAAACTATTAAAAATTAGACTTAGAACCTGAATATAATTGGTGTTCCCTCGACCCCCATAAAGCATTGGAGAGTCAAAAGACATTGTAACAGGAATATGTAGTGATGCAAGAGAACTAAATGTTTAAAAAAACTTTACTTCATAAAGACATGCACTTTTATGGCACTGATAGTACAAAGAAAAGTAAAACCTTGCATTGACAAGGAGGGGTCCAAGCATGATGAGTTCTCAAGTTTTCTCAACTCCTGATCCTTTAAATCTGCATAAGCAATTGAGAATGTTGTACTGTATCAGAGTTAAGGTACTAGATGGATTTGCAAGTGCCGCCCCTCTTCATGGCTTTGGCATGAGAAAGTCCCCTATATTCATCTCGAGCATGGGATTGGGCTAGCCTCCAGCATTGCAGTCTCAAATAACTAGTCCTGGGAGATATTGGAGACGTAGGCATTCACCCACTATTGGGGTCAGGTTAATATGAAATGCCCAAAGAGATGTAATATGAGCAGAGGTAAGACTTAGCTGAATTAGATCCATGAACCAAATAACGACTTAGCATCCTATCCCAGTCCTACATCAATAAAACTGTAACCAGCAGTTTTCACCAGTTTTTTATTATCAATCACATCTCTCAATGCCATAGCTTCTTTCCAGCTTCCAGTAGCTACATATATATTTGCTAAGGACACATAGTAACCTACATTCTCTGGTTTTAGAGAAAAGAGAATAGTCGCCACCTTTTTCCCCAGCTTGAGATTTCCATGATAGTTGCAAGCGCTTAAAAGAGACCCCCAAACACCTGATTCGGGTTGGGTTGGCATGTCCTTGACAAAATCATAAGCCTCGTGTAGCTTTCCTGATCGTCCTAGCATATCAACAATGCAGACATGATGATCTGTTATGGGCTGGACTCCAAAACTGGGTAGCATATGGTCATAGTACCAGCAGCCTTGGTCAACAAGACCTGAATGGCTGCAAGCTGTTAGCAGGTTAACAAATGTGGCTTTCGTGGGGCTTATTCCACACTTGATGAGCCCATTGAACACTTCAATTGCTTTCTGACCATTGCTGTGTAACCCGTATGCGGAAATCATAGAATTCCAAGCCTCGACAGATTTCACAGGGGATTTTTGAAATACTAAAAGAGCAATGTCTAGCCTGCCACAACTGCTATACATATCGACAAGAGCGGAAGAAATAATAGAATTTTTAACGAACCCAAACCTGATGGCATGCCCGTGGATCTGTTTTCCTTGCCTGATTACTCCAAGTTGGGTGCAGATTGAGAGAATGGTTGCAAGACTAATCTCATCTGGTTCAAATTCTAAAGTACGGAATAGTTTTATTGCTTCCGTAGCATTACTATTCTGTGCTAAAGCAGAAATCATGCAATTCCATGTGCACAAATTACGGTCATGACCAAGTTTAAATACCAAGCTTGCGCTCACGCTGTCTGAGAACCTTGCGTACATAGTAATTAAGACATTTTGCACACGGACATCTTTACCCGTTGAGGTCTTAAGAGCTAGACCATGAATCAGTTTCCCCTCATGAGCCAATTCAAGACATCCACATGCTGATATGACATTCACAAGAGTAATTGAATCATGGCTGACAAGTGATGTTTGTCTCATCAAATTGAATGCCTCTAAAGCCATTCTGAAGTGCTGGTTCTGCATGCATCCAGATATTATAGTATTCCAACTATCAACATCCGCAATCATTGAAATTTCTTCTAGCAATTTGAAAGATGTCAATAAATTTGTACAATGGATATACATACACATCAAAGAATTTACCAATAGAATGTAATTCTGAAATCCCAACTTTACATGCATGCAATGTATTGATTTCCCAAACTGGAGGAACTCAGGGGAATCACAAGAAGACAGAATCCCAAGAAGGGTTGGTAAGCTAACACTTACCTGCTGAGCTAGAAGCTTCTTAAATAAAGCCTGAGCTTCTGTTTTGCGCCCATTTTGGGAATATCCTGAGATCATAGTATTCCATGTGATTAAATCCTTATTTGGCATATTTATAAGTATGTTTTCAGCTTTCTTAACATTACCTCCATTTAAATACATATTTACAAGAGAGTTCATCAATGGTATATTATATTCCATCCCTCTTCGAAGGATGTAACCATGAAATGCTTTTCCTTCTCTAAGTAACATGAACTTTGCAGTCAGTGAAATAATGGACACCAGAGTTGTTGTGTCAGGCTTCACAGATCCAATGAATTGCATTTTATGCAGGAGACAAAATGATTCAAAAATCTCTCCATTCAAAGCCAGACCATTAATCATTGAGTTCCATGTAACCACATCTTTAAACTCCATCTCCTCAAAGACACATTTTGCAGCATCAACATTTCCATATTGAAAATAGAATGAAATGAGAGAGTTGGACACAGAAATATGATGTGTCTCTGTGTAGCATAGCTTAACACCTAATCCATGAATTCCTAGGCCACATGTAAGATTCTCCAGAAAAGCAGATGCCGCAATAGCACTAGAAAGGCTCACACTATCTACTTGCTTTACAGTGGAAACCATCTGCTTGAAATATACTAAGGACTTCTTAGGATGATTGTTATAAAAACACCCACTGATAATCGAGTTCCATGAAACCGTATCTTTAAATCCCATTTCTCTGAAAACGTTCTCTGATGAGTTCAAATCAATACATTTTGCATAGACACCAATAAGAGCATTGCCTAAAATGGAATCTGACACCATTGCTGCTTTCACACACAAAGCATGGACTACCATAACTTGTCTCAAGTCTTTCATATTGCACAAGGCTGAAAGAAGTATAACAATACTAGTAGAGTCAAAAGCATTCCCCACTGCAAACATTTCGTAAAATAAATTCACAGCAGCATCAAAGAGATTATTCTCAATGCAAGCAGTCATGATGGCATTCCATAAAACCACATCCTTGTGAAGAACTTCACGAAATAGAACCAATGATGAGCTAAAACTTTTTTCCCTTGAGTATATCATAAGCAGGGACGTGACAGCGGATAGATGACTCATTGCACCTAGTTTGATTACCATGGCATGTACTACTGTAGCATTAACAATACTGGGCTTCTCTCTAACAAGCCTAATGAGCTCATGCACATGGCCTATGTCGGAAGCTAGGGAATACCCAAGAAACCTTTGTGACATTTTATCAAATGACTGGCAGGCAGAGGAATGGTAAGCCGATGCATTCAGAACCACCACAGGCGTAAGGCAATCTGTAATAGCTGGAATGTGCTTGGTGCATGAAAGGGCAAGTGGTATTATGCGTTTTTGGCAAGAATAGCAAAAATGCAGGTGCAAGGGTGACACATATTGAGAGATTTTTCTTGGTGTTGGGAATCTTGAAAGTGAAAAAGTACATGCTACATTTAACAACTTTCTCATATGATCGAGCTAAAATTGACCTTAAGCAAGCCACTTTTTATTTTTAATACTCGTGTTAATTTTATCTCCCTTTTCTTTCTCAAAGGTCAGACAAATAAAGCTTAAAAAAACATCTTGATTATTCACCCACTACGAGATTCTTAGGCATAACTTTGATTATTGGCATATTGCCTACTTATGTAATATAAATGTAACACATAATTACAAAAACCTACTTATGTAAATGTGATAAATATGCTTATACACATAAATATGATTAAATGTAATATTTATTTATACATAACGTAAGGATGCTATCTCTTTTGTTCAGGATTTCAGAGTGTGCCCCTAAAGAAAGCAAAAGCCATGAAAAAAAAGAAGATAACGGAGAAAGAAGAAAACTAAGAAGCTGTTCTCTTCACCTGATCTAAATGTTTCTGATCTGAACTTTTTAAGTTCTAATCTGATCTGATCTGAATCTTTCTGATCTGATCTGAATTTTTCTGATCTGATCTAATCTGAATAAAATAAGAATAAGCAATAAGTAATAAAATTAAGACGAACAGAACAGCTTCTAAGTGAGGATGGGGCATAGTTTAAGGGCAGAGACAGGTTCAGGGGGAATGTCCTTCAATTTTCAAAATTTTCTACTACCTCCGTTCTTTTTTATTAGTCCTCTTAGGGTTTGGCACGAGTTTTAATAATAAAGCAGGAGGGTAAGTATAGAGTGTGTAGGATAAATGATAAAGTAGGAAAGATGGTATATTAAAAAGAGTAAAGTGATGATAAAGTAGGAAAGAAAGTGTATTAAGAAGAGTAAAGTGATGGTAAAGTAGGAAAGAGAAAGTAGTTTGTAAAAAGTAAGTTGGGTAAAAGTAATAAAAGTATGAGTATTTTCTCAAAAACTTTCCTTAAAAGGAAAGGGGGACAAATAAAAAAAACGTCTCGAAGAGGAAAGAAGGACTAATAAAAAAGAACGGAGGGAGTATCAATTTTCAAATTTTTTATCATATACTCCGTACTATCGTATTCGGTATGTAAAATTTTTTTAAAAAAAAAAAAACTTTACTTTAATATATATATGTTCGCACTTTAACATTGAATTTTCAAAATGAATATATAGTCTTATATAATATAATACTTCATATGAGATGTAAAAAGAAAAAATCTAAAATTCAAATTAACAATAGAATAACCTTTTGAATTATGTCTTAAAATGTTAATTTATCTTTATTAAATATTTAGTACTCAATTTTGTAAAATATGACATCCGCAAGTTTTCACGTTATGTGAAATGAATTCAAAATGTTAATGCTTATAAATTAAAATATAAACTAATTTTATAATGTTCATTTATCTAGCACTAATACAAATATAATATGCACGATCTAAATAAATTAAAAGCATACATGGTAATATTATTCTAAAAAGTAAATAACCTCAGCTCATACATACTATTGCATATTTAGAAAATTCTATGTAGCTTATGAACACATGGTAGACAAAAAGTGTAATTCAAAAATTAATTCTTTATTTCAATAAGATCCATGCGGTTAAATAAGACATATGTTTAAAAATTATTGGTGAATGTCTACCTTTTAGACTCTTTATCTTCAAATAATTTGATAATGTATTAAGTCTTTTAATTATCAAATAATTTTCCTTTGATTTGTCATTTCTTAGACTTTAATGTATACATATTTTAAGAGATTGCCCTAAATAAGAGTAAATATGAGTGAGTATTGTCATGTTTGGCATTACCAAGCTTTACACATGACAATAGAGGTACACATTTCTATATTTTGTTATAGAATGCTCCTGCCTATGATTCTTACACTGCAGTGCATCTTCATGGATGTAGAGGTACATTTTTAAATTATTTCCTTCTCAATATTAAAGCATGTTTTTTCTAGCAGTTCGTTTTGTGCATATATTAAAATGAATCAAATTCACAAATTTAGCTAATTAAATGAACAACCCTGATTAAAAGTAGGTCGCAAATTTAGACGAAATTTTCACACAAATACAAATATTAGTTTACATTCCTCTATAATGTTGATTTAATTTTAACATACTTTTTTATCACTTAAAAGTAGCTCATAAGAAATAAGTTGATTTGGATATTGCTTATGAACATTGTCCCAAAGAGTGACCAATCTTGCACGCAAAGAACAACTTTGCTTTAGAGTCGAGATCTCTTCGATGCAATCATATTGCAGTAAGAAACAACCATAATTTGTTTTTTGGTATTTATGCAATATGATTTAGTTGTTTTGATCGATATGATTTTCAGTGGAATGGTTAATTATTTATAGGGCTGGTGATGGAACATGGAAGAGTTGAGAGTCTCAAAGAAATTGTCATTTATCGGTTATGTTCTAGGAGTATACCTCCTATGTAAGTATTAATTAAATTTAATGTATATCCAAATTCTTCATAAATTTTATCATCATCATCATAGAGTCCTACTTTTTATCACATTCGTAATGTTATCATTAACATTTTATTAATATGCAATCTTTAAAATATATTTCATAGATATGGTTATTTAATGGTATTAAATTAAATGCGTAGTTCAAGATGATAATTGAGGATATAAGACTCTAAGAGCATCTCCAGTGGATGAGCCGTTCACATGTATAAAAGTCGCCACATCATCCATTTCAACATTATCATAACAAATTTCGTCTCCAACGTAGCTTCTCTAATTTCATGTGAATCTGATGTGTAAAAAATTAACTGTAACACTGTGCAAGTAAATGTCTTCTCATAACATCGTCTTCAACATGATGACTCAACAAATTGAGTGGAGAAATAGGGCAACAAAAAATCCAGAAACCTTTGGGAAGTCTCCTATTTGCGCTGATCATCCACGACATACACCCAACTGATACAAGTAGTGGGTTTGTTGATTTTTAAATATTTTTTTAAAATAAAAAGCTTTTTACACGTAAACATTATTATGGGCTATGAACACTATGCATTGGACCATAATTTTGGATTCCACCGTATGTTTACATCACTTTTATATGACATGGAAGACTATTCCATTTATTTCTTGCCATGTGTCAAAAATTGTTTCATGTTAACAATGTAACATTAAAGATGCTCTAATATGTCAACATTAATATTTAATGTATTTATTAATATGCAATCATTAAATAATGTATGTATTAATTTATTAATCCGCAAGCATTAAATTCAGTTTCAACAGACTCGGTGTAATTAATAAGTTGATGATAGCATTTTGCTCAACAGACTCGGCGCAATTAATAACCCGGCGATAGCATTTTGCTCAACAAACTCGACGCAATAAATAACGTGATAATAGGAATTGTTTTTTACATGTATTTGAGTTGTTTATTTTTTCTCTAGCCAATGAGAGGTTGACAAATCAACAACTAAAAACTGAGCTAAATTATATTACTATAGATAGTATCTCATGCATTAAGAAACCACCGAGACACTAGCATACTTCATACTACCTCCGTCCCATTTATATTGGGACGGAAGAGGGTGGCACAGTTATTAAGAAAAGTGGATTTGTGTGGTTGATATTAATTGATAAAGTAAGAATAAAGTAAGAATGATTTAAAGCCACACAAACTTTACCAAATATGATATGAGACAATTTAAGTGGGACTTCCCGAAAAGGTAAAACGGGACAATATAAATGGGACGGAGGGAGTATATAGTTTCATAGCAATGTCCCTAAGTTATACACCTGGGTTAACTCATGGTGTTTCGTAGTTTCGAAGCACAAAACAACCTGATTTTTTTACTCTCGATAAATAATTTTCTCCCAAAAGAAGTACTCCCTCCGTCCCAGGGAGAAGTTCCCGGGTTGACTTTCACACATTTTTAGGAAATAAAGTTACTGAGGGGTAAATTTTACTGTTTTGCACTGTTTCGACACTGTTTGGCACTGTTTCGACATTGTTTGGCACTGTTTGGCACTGTTTGGCACTGTTTTAATGTAGGATAACTTTCCATTTAGGGAAATGGGAAGTTTCTTTTGGGACATCCAAATAAGGAAATTGGGAACTTCTCCCCGGGACGGAGGGAGTAATATTATAGGAAAATTTGAAATAACCCAAACCTTCCAACATATTCATTCTTAATCCAATTACATACGTAGTATATATGAAAGTTTTGGGCAATCCTCACAATTTTTCCAATGCAATTTGGGTAAGGATGCTATCTCTTTTGTTCAGGATTTCAGAGTGTGCCCCTAAAGAAAGCAAAAGCCATGAAAAAAAGAAGATAACGGAGAAAGAAGAAAACTAAGAAGCTGTTCTCTTCACCTGATCTAAATGTTTCTGATCTGAACTTTTTAAGTTCTAATCTGATCTGATCTGAATGTTTCTGATCTGATCTGATCTGATCTGAATCTTTCTGATCTGATCTGAATTTTTCTGATCTGATCTAATCTGAATAAAATAAGAATAAGCAATAAGTAATAAAATTAAGACGAACAGAACAGCTTCTAAGTGAGGATGGGGCATAGTTTAAGGGCAGAGACAGGTTCAGGGGGAATGTCCTTCAATTTTCAAAATTTTCTACTACCTCCGTTCTTTTTTATTAGTCCTCTTAGGGTTTGGCACGAGTTTTAATAATAAAGCAGGAGGGTAAGTATAGAGTGTGTAGGATAAATGATAAAGTAGGAAAGATGGTATATTAAAAAGAGTAAAGTGATGATAAAGTAGGAAAGAAAGTGTATTAAGAAGAGTAAAGTGATGGTAAAGTAGGAAAGAGAAAGTAGTTTGTAAAAAGTAAGTTGGGTAAAAGTAATAAAAGTATGAGTATTTTCTCAAAAACTTTCCTTAAAAGGAAAGGGGGACAAATAAAAAAAACGTCTCGAAGAGGAAAGAAGGACTAATAAAAAAGAACGGAGGGAGTATCAATTTTCAAATTTTTTATCATATACTCCGTACTATCGTATTCGGTATGTAAAATTTTTTTAAAAAAAAAAAAACTTTACTTTAATATATATATGTTCGCACTTTAACATTGAATTTTCAAAATGAATATATAGTCTTATATAATATAATACTTCATATGAGATGTAAAAAGAAAAAATCTAAAATTCAAATTAACAATAGAATAACCTTTTGAATTATGTCTTAAAATGTTAATTTATCTTTATTAAATATTTAGTACTCAATTTTGTAAAATATGACATCCGCAAGTTTTCACGTTATGTGAAATGAATTCAAAATGTTAATGCTTATAAATTAAAATATAAACTAATTTTATAATGTTCATTTATCTAGCACTAATACAAATATAATATGCACGATCTAAATAAATTAAAAGCATACATGGTAATATTATTCTAAAAAGTAAATA